AGGGGCTGTCCCATAGCAATGGTTTCACCCACTCCCCTCTCCTTTCATATCAGTGGCTGTCTTGGGTAATCAAATGCAGCAGGCCAATGAGAGAGAAGTGTGTCTTTGCTTTGAGAAGAAATAAGCATTCAAACTTTGCTATTATAACCAAAATAATAAAACCAGAGTTTTAATATATTAAATGTCTGGATTATTTGTCTAAATCTTGGTACCATAATAGCTTTGATATAAAATAAAATACTAATATTTTCCTTCATTCATAACAGAAAAAGCAAAAATCAGGAGGCAGAGAAGTCTGTTTTTCTCCTCCCTTTGGAGACACAGTTTTAGAATATTTCCTGTAGAACTGTACCTTTAGAGGGATAGTATACATGCCTGTACTTGAAAATGAACTCTTACATGTTAAAACAACTTTAAATAAGTGTTAACACCTTTTGGTGAAACATTAATTTTGGCTACAGATGATCTTTGCAGAAAAAAGCTTAAACCCAACTGAAAATAGTGTCAGAGTGTGCTTAAAAGAGCTATGTCCGATTTTTTGACTCTTAGCATTATTATGTTAAGGTGCTGTGTACTTCATAATGAATTCAGCCTTCTACCGGTGAGGCATTTTCTGTTACTGCCCAGAATGCCCAAGCATTTCTATTTGGTAAAATTAAAGGTAAAACAATTTATAATAAAAATCTTTAGAGTTCTCTTATTAGCCATTTGATCATTACCTGATGAAATAAAAGTTAATCTTTCAGTAAATCCAATTGCTTTAAGAGATACTTACAATACTACTCATTTTTTAAAATTTTATTAAAAATTGATTGCTTAGAGTACTAATGCTGTCATTTAGAGGAGAAACAAGAAGAATGTGTATGTGGGAGGGTCCGTATGCCCTACTAGTTTATTTTCTGTACTGGACAGGCTGGCACCTGCTGCCGCACAGGCACCATCCCTGTGAGAAGGCTGTGGCAACAAGTTTATTTCTTACTCATGAAGCAGTGGGCACTGGGTTTTCCTGGCAGGAGGGCAGCTCTTGTAGAGACTGTCACCTACTGTCCCCTGGGGCCTCCCTGTCCTCGGTGGCCAGCCCACAGAAGGGGAAATGAAATGAAACCATGAAGGCTTACTAGGACTTTTGGCCAGAGAGTGAAGCATACTGCTCTGTCCACAAGCACGGTGGCTATGGTGGAGGGCAGGGGGCTGGGAGACAGCCTCCAGCTGGGCAGCTGTTTCTCAGTGAGGTCTGTGCCAGGCAAGGAGTGGGTGCCGACTGTTTGGGACAGCCAGCCTCCTGCCACATGGTCCCTACTGTCTTTGGCACAATTGGAACATGTTTGTATATGTTCTACTTGTCTCATTTTGTTTATTATAATATGGTATAATAAATATATTTAGTCTTTGTCCCAGGTTCCTGGCACTGAGCTCATTAAACCCTGGGGATTTCTTGAGACCAGGGAGTGTCTTTTTGTTATTCACAGAGAGGCCCTGTGATCACACCAGAGTTCATGCTAATGAGGCGATTTATGGGGGAGCCCTTATATATCCCTGGGGTGACGCTGGTCACCAGAAAGTAGTAGTGATTAGAGGTTTGGAACTTTCAGCCCCACCCACCAATCTCTGGGTTGGGGCGGAGGACAGGAGAATGAGCTCTAAAAACCCTTGAGTAAGTAAAGTGCCCAATAAAGATGATTTGGTCAACCATGGAACTGGATTATAATGGAACTGAAAAATACCTGTCGCCTAGGGAGGTGGTGGCCATCCTCACACCATAGCATAACTCACGTACTTGCCGTGATGCTGGTGTGAACAAACCCACCACACTGCCAATTGTATCAATGTACAGCACGTACAATTATGCACAGTCATAATACTTGATAACAATAATAGACGACTATGTTGCTGGCTTATGTATTTACTACACTATACTTGTTATCATCACTGTAGAACGTACTCTTTCTACTTATAAAAAAAAGTTCACTGAAAAACAGTATGCTCTGTTACTCTGGCAGCAGCCTCATCTCGTGTTTACTAAATCTCTTGATTGCATCATTTTCTCTTGTGCGTGATTTACTCTCATGTTGTTTTGTAATTTTAGTGTAGTCTAAGTGTACAGGGTTTATAAAGTCTACAATGGGGGACAGTAGTCCTAGGACTTCACATTCACTACCCACTCACTCACCGACTCACCTAGAGCAACTTCCAGTCCTGCAAACTCCATCTAATTTACGACAAGTGCTCTATACAGGTGACCACTTTTTAACTTTATATCATAGTTTTCATATTTCCACTATACCTTTTCTATTTTTAGTTACACAAGTACTTACCATCCTATACTAATAAAAGACAAACATGCAAATTGACTGCATTTTTGCTACACCTTAAGCCATGCCCACCAGCCAAACAGCAAATTAACCCAACCAAGATGGCGGCTGGCAGCCACTGAGCTGGAGCAAGCAGGAGGCTTGGTTGCCCCAATGATGGAGGAAGCCAAGCTTCCCCGCCTGCCGCGGCCCGGCTCTGAGCTCCACTGAAAGCAACAAAGTTTCAATTATAGAAGGTAAATAAATCCCAGAATTAAAAAAAGAGAGAGGCTGGGAGCTTACGTCACCAGGGTGGTTGGCCAGCTTGAAAACGGCCCTCAGCCCCTCACCCAGACTGGCCAGGCACCCCAGTGGGGACCCCCCACCCTAAAGAGGGTGTGGCCAGCCTGAAAACAGCCATCAGCCCCTCACCCAGGCTGGCCAAACCTCCATGGGGTGAGGGTCCCCACTGGGGTGGACATCCTTTGAGGGGTCCCACACTGCAAGAGGGTATAGGCTGGGCTGAGTGACTTCCCCCCACCCCCCGAGTGCACAAATTTTTGTGCACCGGGCCTCTAGTTGTGTTATAATTGCCTAAAGTATTCAGTACAGTAGCATATTGTACAGGCTTGTAGCAATAGGTATACCATATAACAGGTGTGTAGTGGGCTATATCTTCTTACGCATGTGTATGATGTTCACACAATGATGAAATCACCGAACAACACATTTCTCAGAATGTATCCCTGCTGTTAAGTGGCTCATGACCGTCAGGAGATTTAATGAGCTTTTGGGTGAACACACTTGAAGTGCTGGCAGGGGGCACACCCTGAGAGGGTGTGGACGCTTTATGCACAGGTGCACCCCTTGCCCTATACATCTCTGGCACTTGGCTGGTCCTGAATTGTTTCCTTTATTATAAACCAGTAACAGTAACTAAAGCACTTTCCTAAGTTCTGTGACCCATTCTAGCAAATTACTGAAACTCGGGAGGAGGTTGTGGGAACCCCCACTTTATAACCTGTCAGTCAAAGAGTACAGAGGTCTATGCCTCTCTATTGCCACGTGCACTGGGAGGCAGCCTTGTGCGACCGCGCCCTTAACTCTGTAGAAGCTGACCTTAACTCCAGATAGTGCCAGAACTGAGCTGACTTGGAGGACGTCAGTCGGTGTCCACAGAGAATTGGTTATTGATGTTAGGAAACACTCTACACGCAAACCCCCTAATTTGTTAAAATCGAAGGCAGACTGAATCCATTCAACCCGTAGAAGTTACCTACTGACTGAAGAATAATACGTGTCTTCTTTCTTTACAGTTATTAATATGCAAAAGAGAAACTTTTCCGGAAGTTTTGATCAGGGGCCCAAT